CCTCGCCCTCCGCCGGCGGCGGCGGGAGTGGGGCGGGGTGGAGCGCAAGCCCCGCCTCCCCGCGCAGGCGCGGCGGGCTGGCGGCCTGAGGCCCCGCCTCCCCCCGCAGTGCCCCTCACCAAAACAAGGCGCACGTGCGGGGCTGTGGAGCCGTTGGGGCGAGGGCGCGAGCGCGGCCTACGTGACCCCACGCGCGCACGCCACACCCCGCCCCGGGCGAAGGCGGGAACGGGCTGTGAGGTGCGGCGGCCGTGCCGGCCGTCTGCGCCTTTCCAAAAACCTCCCTCACCCAAACATACCCCCTGCTGCTCCCATGTCTGCCTTTGGCAGTTGGTGGTGTTTGTATGATTAAGAAGTTGCCCTCCGCTCTTCCTGGAAAGGACGGCAGCTGGGGAGGCGGCTGCAGGGGGTGGGGCGCTCCTGTCTTCCTTCGTGAGGAATAGTCCCTCAATTCTGGCACATTTTGATTGTCTCGAATCTGAGCTGATTCCAGGTGACTTTCCTGCTAGTGAGCACACAAACGTTTCTTCCTTTGTGCAGAACCTCCCTGTGACAGTCCATCCTGGAAACTGTATCCCACTGTCCACCTTTAGTCCTAAAATGTCTACCCCAGATTCTTTGAAATACCATCCATGTCCCCCTGCCCGCCAGTTGCCAGCATTTCTGCCAAAGGCTGAGCCTTTTGCTGGAAATGGCTTTGAGGGACGTGGTATCTATAAGCTAACAGACAGGGACTTGGGCTTTTTTTTTTTGCAGAGCTCCTGACTTCACCATTGCTTTTCTTAGCTCCAAGATAAACCCCAAGGAAAGTCAGATTGTTGAATAAACTTCCTGAGTGCAATAGCACCTCATTTATATTATTATCTGATGTGTTATTAAGTCCCCTGTGATACTAGTTAGTCGGGCAGCAAGGAGCAGTAAGACTCCACCACAGGAGCCTGTCCATCTTTTCCTTCCCCAGACCATACTTCCTTGTGTGTCCTCTGCATTCTCCTTTCTGCCAGTCCTTTTAAAAATTCAATTTCTGTCATTTCTGGCTTTTTAATCTTGTTGCTCACAACTTCCCATTGTTTCCACTTCTCCATGGTCTCCCAAGCTGTAGGAAAAACTGCCTCTGCCCATCCCAGCCACCTCTTTACTGTGTCTTTTGCTGGACAGAGGTCAGCTTTTAAGTTCCCATCTCTAATCAGTGAAACAATACACACTGAGCCAGCACCAAGAACCCCTCAGAGAATCTGCTGATTATTCTTCATGTTGTGGATAGTTATAGACAAAGAAACTTGCTACCATTTTCAAAGAACCAACTACTTAATGAATTCATACTATTAACAGTAATTAGAGGTTGTATACACAGGTTCCCAAAGTTATCACAGCCCTGATGCACAGAGGATATTGAGGTCTAAAATGTCATACGTGAGCATTTCTCTGGGGTATCTGCTCTCCAGAATGCTGGAGGAAGCTGAGGGGTCTTCATGTGAGCTGAATGGATCCCAGTATGTCACAGACGAGAGCTTTGTGGCTGAAAGTTGTCCCCCCAAATGGTACATTTCAGGCTTAGGTTGGGCCTTAAAGAAGTTTGGTGTAATGTCACCAAATCCCCGATAGATGTTAGTTATTTTTGCTCAAAAAGAAAAACAAAGAAACAAACAAACAAACAAACAAAACCCTCAAAAAAACCCAACCAAAAGTGTTAGCAAAAAAATCCCCAAAGATCAGTTAACACAGTATTAGACAGATTTTACTAGATTGCTGAAAATATGTCATGCTATATCAATAAGAGAATGTGGAGATTTAGACACCTTGCACTGTATAAGCAGTACTTTAGGCTAAGAGACAAATTAGTCTTGTCAGATCTTGTTTTGTATTATGAGTATCTTGCAAGATGAGCTTGCTTATATGGAGGTTATAATTTGATAAATATGTCACTGTGCTAATGCCAACTCCTCTGCCTCCAACCACTGCCAATTAGTTTACATGCACATGCCAATAAAATACATTAAAACTGTAAAGCTCTCTATAAAAGCTATTAGTAATACTGAAGAGGAAAAGGGAGGTTGGAAGAATAGTAAAGCAAAGACAGGAGAGCATGAGAGATGAACAGGGCTCGGTGTTTCAGTGTTTCTGCTTTGAAGAGGAAATTAGAACAAAGTAAAATTCAGAAATAATTAAGAAAGATTGCACTAGGTTAGAAAATATATAGCTGATACCTCAGTAATTTGAGAATATAGGGTCCTGTGTGTTAATAAAATCATTCTTTCTGAGTAATCAAAAAATAAACAGCTGGAATTGACCTCATCGGTGTCCATCTTGAGTATGAGGGTGAAAAAACCAAAAGCCAAATGTTTAATTCATCTTCTGATTTATGGTTTCTGTTGTTTACATCTGCTAGAAACTTCTGGCTCATGTAAAAACAGATATATTAAGTCAAATTGTATCTGCAGATCAGGCATTTAAATGCTATCATTTGTTCCTCAGATTAGTTTCACCAGAATTATTGTGCTTATAATTGGCTGTGGTTGTAAAATTGCTGCTCAGAAGGTCACGTTAAGATTTCTCTAAAAATGCTAATCTGATTTTTTACCCGTTTTTACTAACCAGTGTACCATAATATTAGTGCCTGACACCTTAGGAATGGAAGAGGACCCACAAGATCTCCTCAGAACCAGACTCAGGATGGGGTATTCTGTGAAAGCTCTTTCTTCCAAAATAAAATAACCTGACCTAGGACTTTGCAGATTTGGACACAGCTTTTAATGACCTAGCATTCCAAGTCTTGCTGTGGTCTGAAGGTGGCACTACAAGGCCGTATGTGAAAGGCACTACAGTAGCCCGACACTACTTTGTGTTTTCTGTGTTAGTTTTGGCTGTGTGGCACGCAGTCCAACCCGAGAGACCCAGGTAAAATGGGGAATAATGTATTCTGCCGCACTTTCCTGTTCCTTTTGTGCTGGATGTGGAAAGCAACCCAGTGTATGTGGAAGCTGCAGGCTTCAGCTCGATTTGAAGCAGCAATGAATTTGGCTCCATCAACCCGAATGAAACATGAAGATAGGTGATTGATGCTCTGAGAAGCCTCTGTGATTTCCATGACCTCCTTGTATGCAGTGTCATTGCCCAGCTGACTTCATCTGAAAACAACTGACATCATCTGAACACTGTCATCTTCAGCTTCCACCGAAGCTGCCCTCAACCTATGAACATGGTTGTCAATTAATGTAATTGCAGTTATGCATGGAAATTTATGGGTTGGATACTTCTACAATCATGGGCTCATCCCTCAGCTGTCAGCCCACAGTGATGGGAGCTGGTGAAGAAGGTGATGCAAAGGGACATTGGAGCTCTAATTGAACTCCTTTATCTTGCCCCATAGTGAACTTTTCCAAGAATAAATATGAAGCCCACAAGCTACACTACTGTACTGGCAGCCAGTGATGGCTTGAGTCTGACATGCTGTATGCTGCAACCTGGTATTCGTGAAGAATCACCAGAAGCTGGGATAAGCTCATTTTAGGATAGCTTTATGCTGTAATGCAGAAGTACAAATTTGCCCTGATTTGGGATCGAGTACCATTTCTTTGTGTCTTGCAGAACCCTATATGACATTTTTAGGTGTTTTGTCCAGGGAAACATACTAATGCATTTTTACTAGCATAAAGCTATATAGAAGCCCTATATTTTTAAAAGAAATGTGCAGAATAGGGAAAAAAAAAAAGATTTTAAAGGAAATCAGAGTATAGGCCATAGCTTTCAAAAACAGTTAGCGATTTGATTTTGCAAGAATCATGTAAATAGAGTGAAGGGCCCTAAATACTTATTTCAGCATGTCAAGAGAGACACAGGAAAATGAAGGCAACAGAAATTTGGGACATGTTATAAAAGTACATTACTCATTAACCATGTCTAGAACACACAGGTTTGTGTGACACCTGTGTTTTATGAAGTTAGCCTCATGGTGTCACCGATTAACTGCTCTGTTAGTGAAATAGTGATAATGGAATGTAATTGGCTGCACTTGTTCACTTTTAACAACAGGGAATAGCTGAGGGGTTTGATATTTTTAATACCACATACTTGAACTAGAAGATTTGTTAATAGATTACTCGGGGACACTTGAGACCATGTGAGTGTTCCCCCTTTCAAGCTCAAAGCAGTTCTTCCTGCTCAGGAGCACTCACATATAATGAAACAGTTGCTCATTTGGGTCCCGTTTCTCAAGTGACTATCCTCAAAGATGCAATATAGCAGTCTTGATTCAGTTCTGCCTCTTCAGTTGCTTTGAATGCAGCACCAGGAGGCAATCAAGGCTGGCTTCAGACATGGGTGTGAACCTGCACGGTTCACCTGGATGGCTTAGCAAGTAGTGCCTCTGTTTGGGTCAGTGTGTGAGCTGCATGCTCGAGGAGGAATTTGTCTTGTCACATCCCATGTTACAGGTAACCAAGTGGTGGATGCATGATCTCATGCTCCCAAGGTCCTTCTCTCCCAGCCAGCTGAATCAGTGACCTGTCCAAAATGTACCATGATGCCCGTGCCTTGCTGCAGTGGGGGCTGCAGGTAGCGGTGTGGCTGGACCCTGGCCCATGGAAGTACTCCCACGTCCCTTGTTCAGGTGTAGCCTAAACACACACTGGTTGTCTGGGCACCGACTGTATCAGTGCAGAATGAGAGGCACCTCCAGAGACCCAGGGATCGTCATCATCTGAGGACAGAATGGATCACTTTCTCTGCACTGGCTCTGTTATAGAGGAAGCCCAATGTAGGCTTTGAAAAACTAAATTAGAGATACCTAAAAGTAAGAACTGTCAAACCCCAGGGAGTCTGGCTTCATCTTCCTTTCTCCAGGCCTTGCTTGTGCAGCTGGAGGAGGGCCAGCAGTGAGGCACCAGGCTGGTGGGGAAAACCACTGAATCCCCTGGGCCTGTGCCCTTCGGCTGTCCCCTGGCGTCCTGCCTCCCCAGTGACCCATTGCTGCCAGCATACTCAC